CATATGTCGACTCGCCGAGTTCCCAGCTTAAATCCCGTGTCCACCTCGCTGCTACTCGGCGAGTCGGGACGCAAACTCGCCGAGTTCATGGCAAAAATTTAAGAAAATGCTTAAATAAAATCGTACCAGGAATCCGGTGTTACAAGATGGAGGTACTTTTCCAAAAGACAACAATCAAGCACTTCCAATCCAACAAAAGCATCAACTGGAGTCAGCAATCCCGCAATTGAAAAGTAATCAATTTTGTGTGAAAAAATATAGCCATCACAGTTTCAAATTGATAGAATCAGAAGAAAACAACAAGCAATGGATTGATCAGACATCTGATTTTACTAAACATATATCTAATTTCACTAAACATACATTTGATTTCAGGAAAAAAAACAAACAAAGAAATCAAAGGATAGAAAATTATCGGCGATGGGGCTGTCCGCTGCAGTGAAGATGGTGGTCGGCGGGAGGATTAAAGGCAGAAGAAGTCATTGTTGGAGCAGGAGAAGGGGTGGCCGATGTTTGAGGAAGAATCGATTGAGTTGTAGCTTGCATTCATCCATCAATTTGGCGATGAGGAAGAAAGAAGTGAATAACGGACGTGTTTTGGGATAAGGATAAACTAGGGAAGTCAAGAAAAAGGACCGAGTCAACTTCTTTTTTGTAGTGGACCGAGTCAGGAGGTGGGTCAATAACTTCTTACCGGGTCAGACAAATTTACTTTGTATCAAACAAACTGACCGGATCGAGTCAGCAAAAAAGTGATGACCGGACCCAGTCAGCAAGTTATCAAACAGGACCTTACTCTGCTTAGGTGTGACACTGTGATGTGAAAACAGAGGAACTCAAGTTGCATGATTTATAAATTAAAAGGGGAAACATAAAAATCAAGCAGCAAACCAGCAACGCAAAAACAGTGTGGAAACACCAACTCAAAAAACAAAAATCAAACAGAAACAAAGAAATCGAGCATTAATCATTGAACAAAGAATAATGGAAAAATCAGATAATGGAAAAAAAATAATAACCTGAATCGGCTATTGGCCTTAATAGGTAGTCCGATAATGAAAAAATCAAGTGAAAATACTGACAACACATACCTTGAATCAGTTGAATGAATCATTTAAGATTTTTAAACAATGGAGAAGCAGATAAATTAATCAGAGAATCCAAGAATGGAGAAGGAAGAAGAACAGTGAAGGTATTTCAACAATCAACAGTTCAGGCAGCCATTCAATGTTCAAGAATCGAGATTGGAGAAGCCTAAATCGATAATCAGTCCAATTAATCAGGCAATTAGCAACAATGAGGACGGAGAAGAAAGGAAGAAAAACAGAAGTGTCGCTTTTGATTTTTGAGGAGGCGTGTATGTATCAGTAATCAACGAATCGAGTTAGAGAAAGAGAAATATTGACATTCGGGGGGGCCCTTTAAAAAATGGGGCCCTATGCCCTAGCTTAACTTAATAACACATTAGGCCGGACTTGGTTATTTGTTATATATAAAAATCAACATAAGTTTGATATATAGTTTACAAAACTTAAAACGTTCTATAAAATCATCAATTAATAGTAGAAATAACAAATAATATAAACTTATGACGGTTAAAAAAAACCAATAGATTAAATATAAGTTTTTTTGCTACTAATATTGGTTTTCAACTTTTCATGTATTAATATTAAATCACAATTTGTTAAAAGTTATTATTTTAATTAAATAATTATATTTTCATCCATCATGCGGGTTCGCTTAATTTACATAAATATTTTCCATCTCTATGGGTTTATTTAAGATTCCGCAATAAAAACTATGTACATCGCAATTGACACGGCTCAAACGATCTTCATTTATAATAATAATAATAATAATCAAACCTAATAAATGAAAATAATTTTTGTCACATGACATGTTTTCAAACATGTAATTTTCTTATATATTATGAATTTTTTATTTTTCACTTGTTATTTTCTGTTTTTTTTTTCATTTTTCTTAAATTAAAAGTTCTCTGGAATTGAATACATAATTTATATATCTAAGGTATTTAATTATATTAAACTCTCATAATAATTTATATACAAACCTTAATTTCATTCATTTTTAAGTCTCTAATAATATGCATATACAAATTATATAATATTGAAGGAAAGGATTTTACAAGATCATAATATAAATTTCAATATTTCCCGTATTATAAAAAATATGTATGCTTACATATTTTTTTATTAAATCTTTCTTTTTAAAACTTGTGTAATACACAGATCTCACACCTAGTAATAATAATAATAGTAATATCAAAAGCTCCAAAAATGTAATCGCTACCACCTAGTCGTTTTGAGGCAACATAATTTTTTAAGTTAAAAATTATAATTGTAATTCATCTCGCCGAGAATCCGTGAATGATTTTTCGAATATTACAAAATCTCATTTAATTTTTTTCTCATTTAATAATTTTTCTAGATAGTAAATGTGATTATGTATCTAGATTTCAGTTTAAAGAAAAAATAAATGAGATTATAGATATTTTTATTAGTAAAATAAAATGGGAGTTGCTAAAACAAACCAATGAGACGTATGATTGTAGGTTTATTTAAGATTTCCTTATAAAAGCGACATACATCGTAGTTGACCTCGGCTCATACGATCCTCATTTATATTGGATCTCTTTACATTCCATTAGATTATTATACAAGACATAATGTGAGATAATTGAAGCAGGATATATATATCAATGGGTACGTGTAACTAAATAGAATAAGTGATGATCATAACATGACTTTCATGAATTAAAAAGTAGCTCATTTGTATACAATAATTTTTTTTTATGATATATAACAATTTTTGTTTTAGAGAGGCTGAACAATATGCAAAAGATCATGTAATTGTTATATATGAAAAAAATTAATGTGTAGGAATTGAACTCCTAAATTTAAATTTTGAAAATTTCATATATACTTTAGAAAAACAACATAATATTATATTGTCTTTAACAATAAACATTTCAAAAAGATTTCCTAGAGGTCTTAATTAGCACAACATGAAGTATTATGAATTAAAAAAATAGAGATTAACAATCTTATGATAGATTGATCTCATATTCTTACTTTCCATCGTACCCAAAAACAATCCAAATTTAAATGATGGAGATCGACTTCACTCGATAATATCGTAAAATTGTACAAAAATATGATCATGATAAATATTTTAAAAAATTGGCGTCTAACCAATCCGCTTAAGTGCATGTTCCCTTACTCTTTTTGGCTATTTTCACATCGTTTTGTTTTCCGGGGACCACCGTGCATTCAAATAATTTATAGAATAAAATTAAAGTCGTTATTGTTTCCTCTTGTAATTTAAATGGTTGATTTTAGTCTTTGGATTTGGGATACTTAAACACGTCAAAAATGATAAGATCAAACAAATGTAAATACTATAATACGGACAGGCGTAAATCGATGTGACGTATTAACAAACCTGCAATTTAAAAGTATCTCCGAATGTCAATACTATTCGGAAGTTATCGATAATAAAGGATGGTACCAGTACATATTGACTTTCTAATTTCCAAAAGTGTCATCAGCCTATTTAAAATGTATTTTGGTGTTATTATTTTAAGAAATAACAATATAATTTCTTCAAAATTATGTATTATATGATTGAATTTTTCTTCTTGTCTATTATTATAATATTATCTAATTAAAAAAATATGTGTTAATATAAAAAAGACATTTTCAATAAACCCGCTATCAAATTAAAAAAAAAATGTATTTAATATTTTAATAGTGAGATTTGGTGAGATCCAAAATTCAGGTGCTACTAGGTGTTTGTTCATATGTAACTTTCAGAGTCTTCGTAAGGGTTTGCGCGTTTATGTCTCCCTCATTGCTTACGTGTCCAAGAGTAATTTAGCTGGTATTCAACGTTATTATGCCACATCATCACCACCCCTGCCTATTATATCCCCATTGGATCCCTCCCCATTCTTCATATCTATTCCCCCGCCCCCACACACCCCACTACAATTACAGGGATAATAAAGAAAGCAAACACATGGAAGGGCTAATTCCGTTTGTGTATAGGGCCATCATGCAACCAAAGAACGATGACGCCCCTTCTTCATATGTCCGGCTTCCTACTGGTGATTCTGGTCGGTTCCAGTCCTCCCATATCAATGTTTTCCGGTCAGACCACGGGCGGAGCTCAGCCTCACCCTTGCCTTCCTCCACCACCCATCGTCCGAATATTGGATCATCAATGTTGGAGTTCAGCCATCAAGCAGTCATGTGATGATCATGAACCAAGATTGTTATACATGTATAAAGTGTGATCTAGTTATGGGACTATGCTCCTGGATTGGAAGAGTTAGAAAAGGAAGTCTTTTTCTTAGTTATATTTTACAAGATGTTATGGTGCTCACAGTTTTTCTTGTGTTTTTTCATTTACTTGTATCAAGTCTGTGGTCAACCTAAGGTGGACACAGGCGAATCGAGTCTTGATATTAGCTTGCCATCAACTTGTGGAAACAATTGTTTATCTTCAACATATTTGATAATAAAGATTATCTTCTGGATTATCGCTTGAGTGGTATTGAGTTTGTAAGCATTTTCGGTTCTGTTGGAAATATGAAACATCTCTTATCAGTTATTTTCTTGAATTCTATTACTCCTTTGTATTTTGTTTAAGGCACGTAAAAAAAAATGCACGGGCAGCACGGCAGGATAAATAGTTAGGCTAGGCTCCTTGGATTGGAAAAGGAAGTGCAGCAATGAAACATGAATTGAAAGTACACAAATGGAACATGGAACGAATGGCAGCATAGAAATTAGAATGACAGTAACGAATTAACACCCTCAAAATTATTTGAGAAATTTACAAATATAGTCATTATCCTCAATTACTTCGCAACAAAATGTCTAAAATTAGCCATTAGCCTAAAATTGCCTCTTAAACCGCAATTAAGATTAACCCGCCATCTGCGGTATGCTCTCTCGCCTCAACTGTTGTATGGTGATTTCCGATTAGTGGGTCTCCGAAGAACAATACCGTAGTTAGCCTTAGGCCAGCTGCGGTTTCACGCATTCACTAAAGTTTTACAAAATATTTTTTTATTTTTTATTTTTTGACTAAGGTTTCGTACAAGTTGACTACCATTCTGACATTTTGACTACCATTTGGTACATATTCTTACTAGTACAGGTATAAAGAGAATATATTTTTTCAAAAAATGGAATGGTAGTGTTATTTTTTTCTCGAGTATCAAAGTAAGAGTTTTGATGAATATTTTTTTCTCGAGTATCAAAGCAAGAGAATATGGCAGTTAGTTGGTTCCCAACTACCATATATATGGCCACCGGGTTATAATTCATAAAGTTCAATTAGAATGTGACATTTTATGAAAACACCAAATAATTTAATGAATTTATGCATTTGGTGAAAAGTAACACATGTTTGGAAGATAAATCAAATGTTACTCTTTCTTACCAACATCATGAAAAGCAGTGTTATTGTGTCATAATTGATGATGGTGATATTAAACAATCGATCAAGGTAATCAATGTGGTTGGAGGTAAAATTTTATGTGTATGTAGTGGTTGATGAAGGTGATGGTGCTAATTAAGTCGGCCATAGAGGAAAGCATATGGTGCAAACATATCTAGCAGAAAAGGGAGCAACAACCGAATATGTTGTTGAAAATATCAGTGTTGTTGAAAATAAAAACGTAGTACAGCCATCGATTATATATGTGGAACTGCATAATTATAAGTACATTGGTGATGATTGTTGGGTTATGAGGGATCTTACAAACCCATAATGGTGCACAACAAAAACACTCAACAAATACCCTCACAAGCCAAAACATGGATCATTGTTCAGTCGAATCTAAACAACAAAATATAAAAAGAAGAAATAATAAAATATACATTTGTTGTCCTTTGAAACCTTTTTAGATCTTGACAGAAAGAGGATCGCTAAAAGTCCAAAACAGAACTTCTATTTCATAGTCACTGTAACGTCCCAAAGTACGAACGTAAAATTTCATTTTTAAAGCATAATCCAAACACTCATTTATCATTTATTCAAGCAATTAGAAGTATTTCAAAATAAAAACAGATATCAGAGTTCATTCCCAAAATCACGAATTGCGGAAAACATGGGTGTATACGCTGCGATCAAGTCGGGCCCTCCCCTTTCGAACCGGAAGTACCTAAAACCATAAACCACAAACCGTAAACACAAAGCTTAGTGAGTTCCCCAAATATCACATACCATACATAACATACGAGTCATACATATCATACATATTCAACATTCAATAAAAGGTGCTATGTGTCAACCATAGTCTTGCCATTATGTCACGAGTCGTATCATGGTCTTCCTTGCCAAGCCGGGGGCCAAAACCATGGGTCTTACAGACAAGTTCCAAGAGCCACCTCCTGGTCTTCCATGCAAGCATCACAAAGACAACTAGCATACAATCTACAACTACTTAACTAATTAACTGCCAAAGTTCAGACTCTGGTCTTGCATACAGATTGCCAGGAGCCGCCTCCTGTTCTTTCATACAAAATGCCAAGGGTCACCCCCTGGTCTTCCTATAATACATAAACCAAATGGGTCGGCATTGGTGCCTTCGACCCATAGAATAGTGAGGAGACTCACCTCGATAGCTGAAGTCACGAATAAATCTCTGACTGCTGATCCGCTAGAATCCTCGCGCTATCAAACAAATAACACCCAATTAAGAATTGGGTTCCAAACTGTAACATCCTGAATCCCAGGTATAAAATTTAAAGCTTTATATATTCATATTTTAGACCTACTCGACGAGTTGGCTACCCCAAATCGTCGTGTAGAGACGGATCAAGCCGCGTGGTTTATGGAACCTGCTCGACGAGTTAGTGGACCCTAACTCGACGAGTAGAGGCTATGCATGAAAACCCTAATTTTTAGGGTTTTCACCATATTTAAAGGAGCTTAAGTCCTTCTTCCAGCCTCCTTACCACCTTGACACGTCTAGAAGCAAACCCTAAGCGAGCTAACCCTATTTTGAGTGTGAGTGTATGTGAGGCTAAAAGTGTGTGTTTGGTGCATTTGTTGAAGAGACTTGAAGGTTGAGAATCTTGGAACGAGGAGGAACTTGTAGATCCAGCATCTACTTCGTTTTGGCTTTCATGTGAAGGTAAAAAGTCATTATCTTGATCTGTCACGCCCCCGAACCAGACGGCGGAAACGTCAGAGGGCTCGCGTGACATAAATTGAAATATCATCACAATGAATATACATGAAACATAACATAAACATCACCA